ATTAATCCCTTCACAATTTCAATCCCCTTCTCCTTCCCATTGCTCTCAATCCTCCTCTCGTTCGGTAAATCCCAGTAAATGCCACCCCCTAAAACGTCAAGAATCAACATCATCTAACCAAACACATTCTCTCTCTCTCTCTCTCTAGAACATTTTTAATTGCCGTAAAAGTCTTAAGCACAAAGCTACCTATTGCTTCCCCCTCCCCCACAGGGATCTCTCATTTTACTCTCTCTCTCTCATCAACCCAAAGGTACGTGCAAAGGTATTCGTTTCCTTCTGTTCCCAACAATAAAGATGAGATTTTTCAGCTGCTTTTGTAAATTACACAGCTGCCCAAGAATTACCCCGTTAGCTATTTTTGTATTTTATCATGTTTTTGTGATTTTTTAGTGGATCTGTCACTCCCAAATGATTATCCAATGATTGTAGCTACACCCCTTTTGTCCATTTCTCCAAATGGATCTTGTATGATTTTACCTGATTGTGTTACAAATCATTAGTTTTTGGTGAAAGATTGGGTTGGAAATTAGTGTGGTCGTTTTTACCTTGTGGGAGTTGACCAAATGTGAAACTAGCTGCTGTTGTTAAATATTTGGTGAATTTAGATTGAACTTGAAGATCATGTAATTTTCAATGCTTTTGATTTTTTACTAGGAAGAAGTGGGTGAATTTTTCTTTCTTCAGTTGTTGTATAATTGTATTTGAAAGAGGAATGTTTTAAACTATATTATTTTTTAACATTTTATTTACCATTGTTATGGACTGCAGGTTGAAAAGTGAAGTAAATTGGTGAGCAACATGTATCTTCTGAGAAGACAATCTCAAAAACCAACCCCTGAGGATGATTCTGCACAAAAAGATGCAAAGGTAACAAATTTAGTTACTTTTCTGGTTTGTAGTAATATCAAAAGTGTACAACTGGCAATCCAAAGGGGTTGTGTATCTCAAGTAAATCGGTCTGCCTCTCCGGCGTACACATGATCGTAATTGTTAAGTCGGCCAAAAATATTAAAGCTTACCTTCCAATTTTGATGGAAAAACAAAGCAGTGTGCAATATAGAAATCTGACGTTGAATGACATGAATGTACATTCAGGTCAAAGAACTCAGGGCAGCGCTTGGCCCCCTGTCTGGACGCAATTTGAAGTACTGCACCGATGGATGCCTTCGGAGATATTTGGAAGCTCGAAGCTGGAATCTTGAGAAGGCGAAGAAAATGGTTGAAGAGACACTGAAGTGGAGGGCAGCTTATAAGCCTGAAGAAACCCGTTGGGTAAGTTGGATGAACTTTTATGATATTCACAAACTAGAAATAGATATATTTGTAGGTTGTTTATTTCTCTTGATATGTTGGTAATTCTGCTTGAGCATAAACTGATCAACTTTTGAGTTTGTATATTTTGTTTTCATCAAATATATGGCAGAATCAAAACTTAATATGGACTCAGATGGTGTTCTCCAACCACATTGCGTGTGAATTGTGTTCATTTAATTAATTCATTTGCATCATCTGCAGCTTACTTCTGTGCATTGCACAGGCTATCGCCCGTCATACTTATTGATGATTAATTCTAGTTCACTAGGAAAATTTTCAATTCACTATTTGGGTTTGATTTAAGTTTGTACTCACCACTGAAACATGTCATTGTTCAGCATGAAATAGCGCATGAAGGTGAGACTGGCAAAGTATTTAGAGCCAAGTTCCACGATCGACTTGGCAGGAGTGTGCTTATAATGAGGCCAGCACAGCAGGTCCGTAGTAGGCTATCCTCCCCACCCCCTAAAACATGGTTACACTTTCAGTAAGCTTATAGTTAATAGATTTAACTCAATTCTCTTTCTTTTTCGTTTTTTATTTCTTCTTTCAGAACACAAACTCGCCCGAAGATAATATCCGCCATTTAGTCTATCTTATAGAAAATGGTATCCTCAACCTTCCCGAAGGTCAAGAACAGATGTCATGGTTGGTAGACTTCACTGGATTCTCAATCAACACCAATGTCACTGTCAAGACAGCCCGGGATATTATTAACATTCTACAGAACCATTACCCCGAGAGGCTTGCGGTTGCATTTCTATATAACCCACCAAGAATTTTTCAGGCATTCTGGAAGGTATGAACTTTTCATGGCAATTTTTTAAGTTGTTATTGACACGGATATTCCCACACCATACTTCTTCAACTGAATTTGAAGCATCAGTATTCCAACTTTCATTTTTCAGAATATAAAAGTTTGGTTAGTAGAACTTCAACTGGAAGGGAATTTAGTGAGGGTTCATTGGGATTATTGTAGTATCCTTCATTTTCATTTTTTATCCTGCCATTATAAAAATATCAAACATGGTTCTTCGAGCTTTGTCCGATGTAAATCCAAAAACTTCATTTTTGATATGATCTGGCATTGGTTATAGTTTGAGTTCGCTTACATTATATTTAGTGGTACAACATTTGTAGCTTAGCAACTATATCTGTCATTTGATGATCTTCCTGTTGCCTTTCACTTCTGTAGGCTGTCAAGTACTTCCTGGATGCCAAGACCTTTCAGAAGGTGAAGTTTGTATACCCGAAAGGTAAAGAAAGTGTGGAGCTCATGAAGACATTCTTTGATGCTGAAAATCTTCCGAGCGAGTTTGGGGGACAAGCCACCCTAAAGTATAACCACGAGGAGTTTTCACGAATGATGGCGGAGGATGATGTGAAAACTGCCAAGTTCTGGGGATTTGATAAGAAGCCTTTCCATATAACAAATGGGCATTCTGGAGCAGAGGTGGCACCGGAGCCTCTCCCCGTTGCACCTGTGGCTAGCTGATTACCCTGGCCGGCCCGGTGGAGTATAGTAAGAATTTAAAGAGTTATACAATGAGTACAAGCTGTCTTTAGTTTTGAATTCGGAATGAGGCCTGGGAGGGGTTTGTGGTTCAGTTCCTCGTTGCGGGTTAATAAGCATTTGTACTACTGTACTTAACTGCTAAATACGGGGGAGATCGATAACCTCTGAGTTGTATTTCTGACGTTCTCGACTTAAACGTACAGTGTGATGTTTTTCTATCTTTTTAATGGGTTTTTATTCTCTTGGTTACTTCATATACATTCCAATTGCTGCAACATTTCACATCCCTCACAAGGCAAAGTTCACTTGTCGATAGTATGCCAGTGCCTTACAATGTGACTTGCCAGGTATCAACGTGGCAACGTTGACATTGAAATAGCAGGTCGTAAAAGTATAATTCAAATGGTTAAGAGCGTTTATTTTCACTCCCGAAGTCCAAACTAACCATTCGCCTAAGAGGCTTTACTTACTTTCTGATTGCCCCGAGTATGAACCACGATGCAAGGCAAGACCTCTTAAGGGAAACAAACAAGGCAAGGCCTACAACTGACGAACCACCACCTTGTGGGCTGGTTTGGTATTGCTGTCATTTGGAAAGAAATTGCTTCTGCTGTGTTATGAGAATAAGCAACTGTGAAATAAAGCGGCAGAGTGTTTGGTAAACTTTTTTGTAAAAGTGTTTTCGAAAAAAAAAAGCAGTATTATAGTGTTTGATACTTTTATGTAAAATAGATGTGAAAAAAAAATGGTTTTTCAAAGATGGGTTTTGCAGCTTTGTGTTTTTGGTTTTTTTTCATCCAAAACTGTGAAAAAAAAGCTGAAGCTGAATGTTTACCAAACATAAAAAAACTCCTAGCTTTTTTTGATAGCCACTTTTTTCAAAATCACCCCAGTACCAAACCAGGATTGAAACGCATGGCTGCATCTCCAGCTGAATCTTTTATTCATAAGCTGATGAAATTCAAGATTATGCAACTGGTTGCCCACAAACCACATTAGATATTATTACACAAATCCAAACACAGCCTACAGACAAGGTGCAGAGCTTACTAGATGACTTCTTTCTTTTTTGATTACCTTCCTCGCGTATGCATAAGACCGAATCCATTTGATTTTTTAAAAAGCATTACTGATTATTAAATCTTTTTTAATTCCACTCAATTCATATACTTCCATTTCTCTCAATCCAGGAGTTCTTTTATTATTTCTTTTATAAACAGAATGTTTTTAATGATCCATTTTTTTGGTTTTTTTTGAGACATTTAGAAACAATTTTGTTTGCAGCTGAATTTCATGTAGATATAACAAGGCCACTGACCGCAAAGCAACTCCATTTGATAAGAGACAAACATGCCAAGTAATATTACAACAAAACAAGTTCTTATAGCATATGTATTACTGATGTTTCTTCTGTACAGTGGGTTTTGAGCTATGAAGTTTACTTGGTCAGAGTTCGTTGGAATACAGGCACTCGTCCACAAGTTGGCGAAGGTTGGGGTTCTCCAAGGCAGCAGCAACTCTTTCTTTATCATTCAACTGCTTGTTAACTAGGAAAATGGAAAGAAACAAATTTTAAATCTCACATGTCAAAATGCAATGAAGAAAAGTTACTTCTCGCACACTGGAAATTGACAAACTACTATTGATGCATTCTTGATACTTGACATGCTATCAATGACAGCCAAGATAGGTGTCATTGATGGATCATGTGTATCTGAGCAAAAACATCTCGAGGCACCAAAAATCGGTTTGGTAAGTGGTAACGTTTATCTCAAAACCACTTAGAGATGTAACCAAATCCTTTCTATTCTAGCGTAAAGACATTAAGCGAAATGAGTGGGTTGAATACCAATCTAACAACCATTGGTCCAACAATTCCCTAGGCACAAAACAAAGTTACAACAATTCTCTAGGCACAATACAAAGTTACAATCATTCCAACAATTCCTTAGGTACTTCACAACAGCTGTTTCCAGAAGACGATATCGTGATAAGATTTCTTAGTCATTATTTGATTCGAACAGGGGAAACGAGATTACCTGATTCTTCATCTGCATGAGATCCTGGAGATACTTTAATGTCAACCTGTTGTAATGCATCATCAAACACATGGTTAAGCAAATAGATAAACAATTACAATATGGAAAGATAACCACCTGATGAAGTCTTGTATAATGTGATTTCTCATTACCATTTCAGACTTATTTCTCAACATACACCAATTGCTCAAAGAAAAATCTTGATTTGTAATTGCTTCTAGGTCAAAATATGCGGTCAATTATGTGTTGATAAGGGGATCAAAAGATGCTAAAGATCAAATGCGGAAGACTGCTAGTGCAAGGGAGAGAGTTGAGCAACTCCAAATGGGGGGATAGCTAAGTTGGCGGTCACAACTCACAAGGGAGTATAATTTGTAAAAACCCCAGGGTAGATTCTCTGTGAACCCTCTCAAAAAATGGAGGGAAAGCTATGGGGTCTATGACATATGAGAGAGACTACGAATAGCTGGAGTAGTGCCGGGTAAGCAACATTTTCTAATCACATTACAAGCCAATTTACACACGATCGTAATCATCTTTGGAATGTAACAAGTACACATCAACTATTGCATTACGCAACTAGCATGATAATTCAACGCGAATTATACAAGCGAGTTTCATCTAGCAGCGTGAGTGTTTGCACTAAACAGCATCAAATATTGGTCCTCGTTGCAACTACAGCCATTGGTATTCTATACTCCGAAGCACCACAGAATTTTCGCATAACAAAAACAGGACGCGGAGAATAAATTAATCGCTTGATACTCAATGCACCAAAATCTCTAACATAGCAAACTGACGGACCTTGTAATGAGGAGGGAAGCAATGTTTCAGTTTAACTCTCAGGCACAGACCTATCACTGTTGCCATACTGCAATGCTGAATCGTCGGCGTAAAAGTTATCCTTCAATCAAATTTCAAAAAAATAAAATAAAAAATAAAGATCAAAACTTTGGTGATTTCTTTAAAAACCCAGAATCCAAATTACCAGAAAAAAGAAAAATTGAAGCTGAAAATTGAGAAATGATACTCACAGAATACGGCCGAGCTTGTCATCCACGGTGACCGACTCCTCCGAAAGCACGCTGAGCTGCTCTAACGAGTAGGGGTGCTCCGGATCTCTTATATCCCTCACGAAATTTGCAATTTCCAGTCAAAGATAGCAAATTTCAGCAAAATTTCACATAATTAAATAAAATAAAAAAAGAAAAAAAAAGAAAGGCGGTAAGAGATGGAATGGGAAAGGATATCATAGATATCGAGAGGATCGACGGCGTCGTCGGCGTGGAGATCTTCGGTGCGAGCAACCCTTTCCTTCTTAGCGTGGACCACGGGGTTGGCATTGATCAGACCCAACGTCATCTTCTTCTTCCTTCTCTTTACAAGCTCACACTCCAGTCCAAGTCTTTTATTTTATCTACTTCACCAACCACCTTTACCTACCTGGTCACGAGCTCTAGCTTTTTTTTTTTTTTTTTTTTTTTTTTTCTTTTTTAATGAGCACAACTAATAGCAAGTCATAATTATTCATTTTTATTCATTTTTTTGAAAGATCGAAAAACTTACCGAAACATTTCAGTTTTTTTTTTTTTTTCAGACCTGAGGGGTTATTTATTTATTTTTGTACTATTAGTCTATTAGTTACTTTTTTATATAACAAGTAATTAAAAATAAGCCACGTGTCCCACTTAGAAGTCTTACGTCAATCGGTTGTCACTTCTCAATACCATACAAACAAAACAGAATAATAACGCCCGTGAGAATAATCGAATCCAGTTTTGTACATTAACAATATTGTGTAAAAATTTAACATCATGGTCCCGTAGCTCAGTTGGTTAGAGCGTTGGTCTTATGAGCCGAAGGTCGCGGGTTCGAGCCCCGCCGGGACCACTTTTTTGTCTTTTTCTATTTTTTTACATTTTACATTTTTATTTTTGTCTACTATTTTCACTCTTCATTATTTTATGGGAAATATTTTTAAACTTTGGTTCTTCCACTCACATGCTATTATTACGTCCGATTCCCACTTACACTTATACCAGCCAATTAATCATAACCAACTATTTGCCAAATTTTAATTATTGAATGTGTGAGTTCAATGGAGAGATAGTGGTCGGTAGAGGATTGGTCGCAAAATTAATCATCGTATACGTTTAATTTAGCATTCGCGAAATACAAAATCACGTGTAAAATTAAAAATTTGGTGTTGCAATTTCTTTCTCATGAGAGATGTGGTATTAGAAATGTATGCTGAGAGAAAAAATAGTGGGGTTAATTAGGAATAAATATTTACTTTTTACAAGTGATTTTAAATTAATTAATTTTTTAAATAACTATCTTACTTTTTGAAATTAAACATTTGTTGGATCATTAGCATTAACTATTAAGTAATGATGTGCACAATAAAGGGAAACCAGTTTTCGAACTCACGTTTATTTTTTACAACAAATTTAAAGTTTAGCTTAGCTAAAATGACCTGTTTGGTGATTTAGGACTCCATAATTATATGTTCATGTTGGGCTAACGTCAATGAAATATTACATTGTTATTTGGAGTATTCTAAAAAGTTTAAGACCAAATTGAAATCACCCAAAATACTTTTTTATTTTGATACATAATTTTTGGACTTATAAGTGGCGTAATTCTAAGAGTTAAGTAGCCAAAGTTGAATTTTAAAGAATATAGTAAAGTTTTTATTTTTTGTCATATGATAGATTTTGTTAGATTAGCTATTGATGGGGTTTAAATTCACGCCGTGAATGCAAGAACTCAATACATTTCCACCATTATGGTAAAAAACCACTTGCAAGAATATAGAGCTCATTTTAAAGTGCTTTTAAAATGACTGAAAATGCTTATGGTGAAAATATTTTAGAACAAACTTTTAGTAAGGATGCATGTAACATCTCACATCGCCCATAAAAGTGGATCCTCTATGCCTTATGTGTACATACTCATCTCTTCCTAGCATGAGACATTTTGGGAACTCATTGGCTTCGGGTTCCATCGGAACTCCGAAGTTAAGTGAGTTCGCGCGAGAGCAATCACATGATGAATGACTCACTGGGAAGTTCTCGTGTGAATTCTAAGAAACAAAATCGTGAGGGTGTGGTCAGGGCCCAAAGCGGATAATATCGTGCTACGGTGGAGTCGAGCTCGAGATGTGGTGGGGGCCCGGGTGGGGATGTAACAATGCAAGTATATCCTGAAAAAACACTTAAAGTGCTTCATAGAAAGAGCATATAACTGGTGTTTCTTACCGAAACGCACTTTCAATGCTTTTGGAACCCAAAAACATTTTCTCTAAAAGTGATGTCATTCATTTTAAAAGCACATTCAAACGAGCCCATAGTAAAGTTGAAATAAGTTCCAATAACCAACATGATCATCTCCGAATCCTTTTGGTGAGAATCCTAGGTATTCGTAAATCGTTTCCGTTTATCGTACATCGTGTGTTCAATTTTTGTCAGGTACTTTTTGTATTTAATTTTAAATAAAAATATTTAAAATAATTTATAACTGTAAAATGTATCATGAACATATATAATTGACAGATTCCGAGATCCTCACAGTGGGTCCGGATTCTTCCAATAAGCTTCACAGAAAATAAGCCTAATTCGTGTCCTTGTCCAAAGTTTTCACGGGGCTGCGTTTAAAAGTTAGTTAACGTAGCCTAAACAACGGAAACGGCGTCCTAGCTCTTTAATCGCCCCAGCCAAAAAGAACTCCGATCAAAGGACAACGACGACATGGTACACAGTGCCTATGATTCCTTCGAGCTCATCAGCGACTGCCCGACGAAGATCGAAGCCATCGAATCGTACGGACAGAAGCTCCTCATCGGCTGCTCCGATGGATCTCTCAAAATCTACGCTCCGGACTCCTCCGGCTCCGACCGCTCTCCGCCGTCCGATTACCACGGTCACAAGCTCCAGAAGGAACCGTACGCGCTGGAGAGGAACGTCGCGGGTTTCTCAAAGAAGCCCTTGGTTTCAATGGAGGTCCTGGAATCGCGAGAGCTCCTCCTTTCCCTCTCGGAGTCGATTGCGTTTCACGGCCTCCCGAACTTGGGCACCATCGCCGTGATCACGAAGGCGAAGGGCGCCAATGTCTACTCGTGGGACGACCGCAGAGGGTTCCTTTGCTTCGCCAGGCAGAAGCGGGTCTGTATTTTCCGGCACGACGGTAAATACACATGATTTTTTTAATTTCTTATTTTTTAGGAATTTCAGTTGAAAATGCTCGAATTTTGAAATGATTTGGGAATTGAATGTGTTTAGGGGGACGAGGGTTTGTGGAAGTGAAGGAATTTGGGGTTCCGGATGTGGTGAAGTCGATGTCATGGTGTGGAGAGAACATATGTATAGGGATTAGAAGAGAGTATATGATACTGAATTCTACAAATGGTGCACTGTCAGAGGTGTTTCCTTCGGGGAGGATAGCGCCGCCATTGGTGGTCTCTCTCCCTTCCGGAGAGCTTCTTCTGGGAAAGGTACTTGCTTTTGTTGTGTCTCCCATTAGGTTTGTGTTTTTCGGAATAAAAGTGCAAAATTTTTAGAGTACATCAATGTATGATTGCTGAATTTAACGGTTGGATGTGCCCGGAAGAATCCAAAGAAATTTAGCAAGTGAAAATGCAATGTATACCGTACATAGATGTATAGTAGAAGGACTCCTAAAAGCAATACTGATTAGTGATTACCGTGTTCTCGTGTTTTAGGATAATATTGGGGTTTTTGTGGACCAAAACGGGAAGCTTTGTCAAGAAGGCAGGGTTTGTTGGTCAGATTCCCCGAATGTTGTTGTTGTTCAGAAGCCATATGCAATTGCTCTGTTACCAAGATATGTGGAGGTAGGTTGGCCTCATATTCCTATAGAAAGAAGTACTTATTTCTGCTTTTAAAATTTTACAAGACACAGGTCAGGTATGCCTTCTTTTGCAGGTACGGTCGCTCCGAGATCCATATCCATTGATACAGACGGTAGTTCTTAGAAATGCTCGTCGTATTCTACAGAGCAATGATGCTGTAACTGTTGCATTAGAGAATGCTGTTTATGGTCTCTTCCCTGTTCCTCTTGGTGCTCAGGTATTCCTGATTCTCTATGTGCTAAACTTCTACGGTACATGCATGATCTTCTTTGGTAAGGAGGTGAGAATTGTGTTTTTGCCCTGCAGATTGTACAATTAACAGCATCTGGCGATTTTGACGAAGCATTGGCATTGTGTAAGATGCTTCCTCCAGAAGAAGCAAGTCTTAGAGCTGCAAAGGAGGGGTCAATTCATATGAGGTGAATAATTTCTAATTTCATTTCTCTTTTCGTTTATTTGAATAAACAAATGTATTGGTCTAAAATTGCAATAAAATTGATGTGTTTGTATTTTCATCTAACATGCATATGGTAGAAACTGACTTGTATATTAATCACAAATATAAATTGTTACATCAATGTAAGGTTAGGTCCTTTCATGTTAAGGAAAGAGTTTTGGGTTTGGAGCTATATAAGTCTGGACTCTGGAGTTGCCAATGGCCGGGCCACATGGCTGGAGAAATTTATTTGTTTAGCACACTTGGACATGTAATACTATTTTTTACTAGGTGGGGCCACATGGCTGGACAAGAAGCATAGCAAGCGATAAAGTTCTGGGTAAAATGTCTTGATTGATAATGAGGTTCATGGATACATCAATATATACAATTACATGCTCGTTGACCTTTGATAAGTCAGGAAGCGATTTGGGAAGAGACATTATAGTGATTGCTTGTATATCACGTTTATCACAGGTTATATATATGGCCTTCTGTCTTATGCACACACATGTATATATATGTATGTATATTATATGCAATTTAAAGTTGAACTACATCAGACAGTGTTTAAGTATGCCATGTAATGCTTTCTTAAAACGCTTTAAGGTGAAAATTTACCAAGCTTTTTTAAAATGCTTTTATTTGTGCGAACCAGTCAGTAGATTTGAAGAATTCATAACCTGATGCTGCATGGAATTCATGCTTGTTTTATGCCTTTTAAATTTTATATGTTAAATGAGATTGTTTTATTGTTTATAGATATGCTCATCATCTTTTTGATAATGGGGCCTATGAGGACGCCATGGAGCACTTTTTGGCATCTCAAGTGGATATAACCTATGTTCTTTCTTTGTATCCATCTATTATTCTTCCTAAGACAACTATGGTTGCTGATCCGGAGAAGCTAATGGATATTTCTGGGGATTCATTGTATCTCTCAAGAGGTTCGTCTGGTATATCAGATGATATGGAACACTCTCTGCCTTCACTACTGGAATCTGAGGAGAGTGCAGCACTCGAGTCCAAGAAAATGAGCCATAACACTCTTATGGCTCTCATAAAGTTCTTACAGAAAAAAAGATATGGCATAATTGAAAAGGCCACTGCTGAGGGGACAGAAGAGGTTGTTTTAGATGCTGTTGGAGACAATTTTGTGTCCTATGAATCTAGGTTTAAGAAATCAAACAAGGTAAACTAATTATATTTGTTTTATATACGATTCCAATATTTCAGTATGTGATCTCGTATTGATACACAAATTTCTATGGGTTATGAACGTGTGATCAGGATTTTGTGTCACTAAATGCAGCATTCTAGATTTTGTGAACACAGATATTATGACGTTTTGGTTGGAAACTAACAAATAGTCCTTTTTTTTCTTCTTTTTGGTGAGTAAGAGATATATATTATTACCATGCTGTTCCTTTATGCATTTTTAATACGAAAAATCTTAGGCTTTGGTTACTTCATTAAAGTTAGCTTGGTTACGTATGATGCACATGGTTGTCAGAAGGAACCATGCTTTGTTACATTAGATTAACCTGTTTGCAAACATGCATAACGCAACTGTCAGAAGTTAGTTTTTCTCAGTTAACTCCAATATTTGACCTTGTGTGTGTACATTTGCCCATTTGGATTTTCACAACCTGAATACATTTTTGTATATTTATATAGTTACTATCGTATATTTCAATTGTGATATCAACAACCCTCACATTATCTTTGGTATCTAAGGGGCGTGGCAGCATTCCAGTTACCTCTGGTGCTAGGGAGATGGCAGCGATCCTGGATACTGCACTACTCCAAGCTCTACTTCTTACTGGACAGGCTTCAGTGGCTTTGGAATTACTGAAAGGTCTTAACTACTGCGATGTAAAAATATGTGAGGAGATTCTCCAGAAAAATAATCACTACGCTGCTTTGTTAGAACTTTACAGGTGCAATTCAATGCACCACGAAGCTCTAAAACTCTTGCATCAATTAGTAGAGGATTCTAAATCTAACCAAGTGCAAACTGAACTTATCCAAAAGTTAAAGCCTGAGTCAATTGTTGAATATCTCAAGGTAGGTTTTCTCCATCTGATCGATGACTTTGATCTTGAATCTGCCGGTCATATTTCAGAAATTTGAATATGTTAGTGATATGAAAGCTTTATATTTCATCTGTAATTGACATTTGGAGTCTGGAATGAGATGGTAGTGTTGCAGAAATCCTTTTTAAATGATAAGTAAAAAGCACAAGTTGCCTGACCATTTTCAACTATGAAAGGCGGGCTAATTTTTTTATTTATTTCCACATTTCCTCTGAGTTTGTTTTGTTCCACTGAACACTACAAATTTTTCAGCATTACTATCATCTTATGTTTTTTCATATACTTTGTTATATATAGAACTGAAAATTGTGATCTACGGTTCAGTTTCAGAACTAAAGAACTATATTTGAATGTTTCATCCAACGGATGAAGTTTGATGTGTTATCATCGAACATAAAACTTTTCATTTTTCATTTGGAGAATAAGTTGTTTTAGGAACTTGAATATTTGCTAAGATTACTTGTTTTATCAGGAACCAAAATATGTGTAAAATACCTTAAAATATTTGACCGATTTTCTTATGTGCAGCCTCTTTGTGGGACTGATCCCATGCTGGTCCTGGAGTATTCAATGCTTGTTCTTGAAAGTTGTCCAACGCAGACAATTGAGCTCTTTTTGAATGGGAATATTCCAGCAGACCTGGTCAACTCTTACTTGAAGCAACATGCTCCAAACATGCAGGCCACATACTTAGAGTTTATGCTTGCAATGGATGAAAATGGAATCTCTGGAAATCTGCAAAATGAAATGGTAAGGATGTACACATTGTTCAAAAATAATAAGACCAATTTATTAGTTGGAATTTTAGGGTCATTTGGAATTTCCGAGAAGCTAAAAAAGTACAAAGGTAGATTTGGCAGGAAAAAGAAAAAAAAATCTCTGCTGCCAATTTCAGCTACTCTGTTGTAATTTCTGTGAATTGGTGATGCAAGTAGTATGCCGGTATTTACCAGCAAAAACTGCATTCTAATGGATTTAGTGCATGGCAGGTACATATCTATCTATCAGAAGTACTTGATTGGTATGCAGATTTAAGTACTCAGCAGAAATGGGATGAGCATACTTACTCCTCAACAAGAAAGAAATTATTGTCTGCTTTAGAGAGTATCTCAGGATATAATCCGGAGGCTTTGTTGAAACGTCTTCCAACGGATGCTTTATATGAAGAGCGTGCAATTTTGTTGGGAAAAATGAACCAACATGAGCTTGCTTTATCTCTCTATGTTCATAAGGTATTTTCTCTATGTTCACATTCTATACACAATACGTATGTATATTATATGAATCCTGTTTGAGTTGATTAAGTTCTTGACTTTTGTAGCTTCATGTTCCTGAGCTGGCACTGTCCCATTGTGATCGCGTGTATGAATCCTTGGTTCATCTACCATCTTCAAGATCTTCCGGAAATATATACCTAACTCTATTACAAATTTATCTTAATCCGAGGAAAACAACCAAGAACTTTGAGAAGCGAATTACAAATTTAGTATCACCTCAGAATATCGGTACACCAAAGGTTGGTTCTGCAAATATGGTTAAAAGTAAAGGAGGGCGTGGTGCTAAAAAAATTGCTGCAATAGAGGTGGCACCTGACATAAGAGTCAGTCAAAGTAGCGCTGACAGTAGCAAGAGTGATGGAGATGCAGAGGAATCTAGTGAGGAAGGAGGGTCGAAAATCATGCTTGATGAGGTCCTTGATTTGTTGAGCCGAAGGTGGGACAGAATAAATGGAGCTCAGGCACTCAAACTTTTGCCAAGGGAAACTAAGCTACAGGTATTCACCATACTAATTCTCAAAGAATATGATTTTATTGACCACAACACAATGTGTTTGCCAATAGTGGAAAAGAATATTTCAAATTTGTTTTTTTTTTTAAATATTTGATTAACGTATTGATGTTGATGTCTCTTTAGTCTGCTTTGTTCACGCATGGTTTTCTCCTGATATCGATGCTGAAGTTGTGTGTTATTATTGTTGATCTGCAGCACTTGCTTCCATTTATGGGACCCCTGTTGAGGAAATCCAGTGAAGCGTACAGGAACCTTTCAGTTATCAAGAGTTTGAGACAAAGCGAGAACCTGCAGGTATGCATATATCGTGCTTGGAATCTAAGTTTGGCAACGAGTAGGTATCTTGGCTTGATCTTGTTGCAGATGATACTGAACCCCTAGTTATGTGTTATAGTTTAGTCTCCATGCCGCATGTCCTTTCGTTCATTTAGTACCATCTCAAAGTGCTCATTTCAAATGCTCTTGAGGTGGTTGAGATTCCTCACCCAGTTATTTATGTTCACGATTGTAAACGTAGTTCACTACCTGAACAAATAAATGTTTATCCGAAACAGGTTAAAGATGAACTCTACGAACAAAGGAAGGGTGTGGTGAAGGTCACCAGTGACAGCATGTGCTCCCTTTGCAGGAAGAAAATAGGAACCAGTGTCTTTGCCGTATATCCAAACGGGAAAACATTAGTGCACTTTGTGTGCTTTAGAGACTCGCAAAGTATGAAAACCGTGGGCAGAGGATCGCCGCTATGGAAGATATGAAAATCAAGCATTCACGTGGCTAAAAGAAAGCTTTCCTCCACTTTCGGTTAGCAAATGCTGAAATTCATGCACGAGTCTCGGCTTTAAGGAAGTGGTTTAACTCTGCACTTTGCCGGGCACTCCAAGCATTCCGGGTTTTGCTAGTTTTGCTCTAAGTGGCTACTACCGTGTGCGATGTTTGGAGGAGGCTTGTAGATTGTGAGAGTGAGGTTGTGAGTTTTCGTTGTTGGTTATTTATAGCTTTCTTTGTAAAGATTGTAAAATGTAAAACCGGTCTTGTTATCGAGTTAACAAAACCCGAGCAGAAATGAGTTACGTCAGTTAGTCACGTCAATCTGCCCGTCGTTTTGCATCCGAGGTTGAATTCTTCTTCCGTAATTTAGAATCGTTTAGAATTTAAAAGATGCAATTAACAAAAAACGCAAGAATAATTAAGATGGAATATGATTGTTAGGCGATAACATTAGCATTGTCAACAGAATTCAACATTTTCCTACTCGACTTTTTGGCGGTTAAACGGTAAACGGCAACTCCAACCCGGGAGCCAAGGCACGGGGGGTCCACGTGCAAGACCTCCACCTCGAAAAGCTTCCTGGCTTTCTTGAAGAAAGCCGAGTCCTTCTTCCACCGCCTCATGTGGGCCATCACAAACACCCTTCCCTCCTCCTCCGTCTCACCTGACATCAGCAAACGCAGCGTATTAAGCAACGGCTCGTAGAGATGATCGTGATACACTACATCCGAGGCTAGAATAAGATCAAACTCCCGCCCAATCTTCTCTACGTCCGCCGCTTCCCCCCACCTCAGCGCCGCCACGTGGACCACCCCACCGTTAGCTGCCAATACGGAGGCGTTTGCTTCCACGTTGAATAACAGGTTAGGAATGACGTGGGGGAGGTCAGTTACCGTGACGGTAGCCCCGAGCGTGGCTGCGGCGGCGATTCCGACGATGCCGGTCCCGGAGCCGAGCTCGAGGATTCTGTGAGGGCGCTGCCTCGAGTCCAACGCCGAGAGTGTGGGGCCCAGTGGTCCGGTGCTGGGGTCACGACGGTGCCCGTCGAGGAGCGTGAGGAGCGTGGTGGCGGGCGGCCAGAGCTGGAAGGAGATGCCTTGAGACCGGAGCTCCCGGATGAAGACGACCGAGTTGATGGAATGGAGGCAATGCTGAGTCGATGGAAGGAGCGTAGCGGTCTCGGGGATCAGTATTGCATCGTCTTCAGAATCACCGCCTTCTTGAGCCGCCATTGATGATGCGCCGCCGCCGATGATTCTGGTTGCGACTCGACTTCAAGTGCACTAGGGTCTAGGGCTTGTTTGGCTCACTATTTGATATTTACACTTTTTATGCCGCCAAGTTGCGCGGATTTGGATCTCCAGCCATGCGTCCCCACAGGAATTTACGAATAGGCCCCTACCGATGTACATAATTACAAGGGACCAGGCCGGCGTGGATCTTAAGCCAGTTCTCATCTGTGCAGTCTGCAAATTCACTGAAAAAAAGATTTTCTTGTTTCTGGAGAAGATGATCCGATCGGTGATGGTGATAAACACGCAGGGGAAGCCTCGCCTTTCCAAGTTCTACGAATTTCAGGTCACCTCCTCCTCTTTCCATTTTTCAATATTTATTTTTTCTGTAATTTTATTTATTTATTTCTTAATTATTACGATTGTTGTGTGAAAATGGCTGGCTTTCCAATTTCTGAGGGCAGCCTGTGGAGAAGCAACAGGAACTTATAAGCAGCGTCCATGGAGGTTCTCTCTCTCTCTCTACTGTGATTTATATTTTATTTACTGCATAAATCAATGTGGATGTTAGCTTGACTCTCAATTTGTTGTGATTTTTTTTTAAAATTCAAATTAGGTTTTCATGTTGATTTTCCTTTTCCACAGTGTTGTCCGGTAGAGCTGAGAATGTGAGCAATTTCGTGGATGCTGAGTCTATTTTCGGCCCGGTATTTTGGCAAATCTTCCCTCAAATTATTCCTGTTTATAAAGTTTCTGGATGATCTGAAATTGGTAAAATTTGAATAAGAAACAGTCCTTGTATCCGGGACGACGGTTATTCAAATCGGCTGTCTGAATCATTTCCTTTCTTGAGCAGGATACTCGCCTTGTGTACAAGCACTTTGCAACTTTGTACATCGTCTTTGTGTTCGATAGCTCTGAAAACGAGCTTGCCATGCTCGACCTCATACAAGGTACCTAGCATTATCCATGTTATATAGCTGCTACTCAATTGCAAGGTTTCGAATTCACAAGATACCGCACCTTTGAAGAGCATTCACAAGTTGATTGATTGCAATCAGAAGATATCGGGAAAGTTTTTTACGGTTGAAAAGTGGAATGTTGATGAATTTTGCTTGCAGAAACCTTATGGTTACAGTTAATATGTCATGACTCATGAGAAATGAGGATTACTGTGTATATGGTCGTGACTTGAACAACAGACTATGATAAGATCCAACATGGCAATGATTAGCTTGTTTCTCAAAGTTAATGCTTGTGCTTTCTTGTGCTAAGGGTTGCTTTGATTGAATGAGTTGCTTACTTCGATTCTCATTCCTTCAGTATTTGTGGAAACATTGGACAAATGCTTCAAAAATGTATGCGAGCTTGACGTGGTTATCAATTACAGCAAGGTAAAGATGCTCCCTTCGTTTTGGTGTGAGTAACGTTTACTTGTGATCTGTTGCGTGTATTTTGATACTCCGAGTAATGTGAAACATTATTTGGTTTTGCTTTGTGATTTGACTCTGTTGCACAAAAGGGTGGGTGTCAGGTTACATACATTATTGTTTTAGGAAGTGTCGCCGAATAAAATGTTTGTGATCTGGCTTCACCAAACCATTTTCATTGAACCGTGCTTCAATTAGTTTTATCTTCGTTCTCAGATGCATACCGTATTGGATGAGATCATTTTTGGAGGTCAAGTGCTGGAAACAAGTTCAACTGAAGTTATGAAGGCCGTCGAAGAAATCTCAAGGTGGTGTCTCTTCTCCCCCTCCCTCCCCCTATCCCCTCCTTGTATCTGTTGCTGACTATTTCGATGTCTGATTGCTTATGTTAATTTGAACTTTTGGTGCAGGTTAGAAGCAGCCTCAAATGCCATCTCACTGGTCCCAAAATCTGTTTCCGCCTGGCGGAGTCGATAGTTTGCAGTTTTGATGTCACACCGAGGCCGAGCCTCCAAAGTTTCTTTGATAGGAATCACTGCAGAGCTCTTGCAATATTAGTGCGATGTTTGTGAGTATTTGGATGCTTGATGGATGGCTGAATACTTGGATGAAAAAAAGAACAAGGAAACATGCGACAATCTTGAGTTATCGGCATTATATCTTCTGTTTTCTTGAGCTGTTGAGCATGTGTTTCTTTGGTTTCGAGTCTTTCAGACATCGCTTGTATCAAAAGATAATTAACAGAAACAGGTACAATGCAGTCTCGTATTGTTCGACGAAGATACAAGATACAAACACAATGTGGAATGCCTGAAATTTTCGGCATACCCGAAACATAAGAAATTGGAACCAGTCAGATTGGTACCTGGTTAAGACACAAATCTCAAAATCATTTTAATGGCTTGTTCACATCTTCAAGAACTACGCGTGCAGCATTACGCCCGGGTGCCCCCATCACACCGCCCCCGGGGTGGGTTCCGCTCCCACACAAATACAGCCCCTTGAGTGGCGTTCTGTAATTTGACCTGTACGTTTATACCAAAATAACACAAAACAGATAGACTTTTTACACAAGCAAACATAAGGCATAGCTATAGCAGGAAGTTTATGTCCCAAGCAAAATCGGATACGTCGGAAGATTTACCATCCTTTCACAGGTCGCATGAGGAAGAGCGAATCCAATCCCATAGCACCATGGAAGATATTCCCTCCTGTCAAGAAACATTTGCAAATCGGTGTGAGTTTTTGGATGCTGCATGACAAACTTCACATCTCCATATTGTGACGTTCAATGGCTGCCACTTCCGGCCAATGCCCTTATATCATTTATGGTGAACTAAACTTGGCCGAACCATCTGCGGCTCTGCCTACATTTCTACAAAGATTTGAGTTTTGATGTACCTGTCAAACCAATTTCCCTTTCAAGGTCTGGCGGAGTCAACATGTCGTAACCAATAATTGATGAACTAAACCCAGGTGCATATTCATCAATCAAGCTATAACATTTTCGTGCAAACGATTCCTGCAAAGGTACGATGCCATTTGAAAGAACTAGTCAGAGGCCCAGAGCGGAGATTTCTGTGTCACCACAAAATTATTCCATCAAAAGTGACGAAAAAGAGTTGACGCCTCGTCTAGAAAGAAAAAGAAAGATAAAAGAAGAAATGAAAAACTCACTCTGTAAACAGTATCTCCCCAGTGGCCATCTGAGGGACTATATGGTGTGTATTGAATAAACAAGTTGATCACATGCTTGCCTACAAAGAGTTGGATTATGTCGATCTGAGAACTAGAATGCTTTCTATGAGGAACGAGACAATATGAATGCATTTTTAAGGCGAAGTAGTTTTACGTACCAGGTGGAGAAATAGTTTTGTCGAGTACAGAGGGAATTGTCATCTCAATAACTGGTCTGTTTGATGGCAATCCATTGACAGCATCTTGACAGGCTGAGTTAATCTCCTCCATGCTTTAGAAGAGAGACGGAAACGATATGAAAAAGCACTGCATGTGGAACCAAATAAACCACACAGTGAGATAATAGCTTACCTCTCAGAACCAATGTGAATGGTGCCCACATGCTGAGGACCTGCATCGGGATGACCTAAATTGCAACTTTTGAACTGGGGCAATGCATCAACCGCTAAATTTATTTTTGTAGTTCCCTGCCGATAGGTAAGTAACCTCAAGTTATAGTAAAGATAGTAATTGGAAAATTAAGAAGAATGACACAGAAAAAGAAGGAATAAAGGGAGCTTACAGCGCTGTAATCAGAGTACTTAATTGCACGGACGAAATCAGGAGGAAGAGCATTATCTGGTACCAATTCCTGTGTCATATAATGGAAACCTATAATATAGATTAAAATCCATTTGATATAAAAGAAATTTAAAGGTTTACACAGGTGTTATTTCCCATCTAGTTTCTCACAGAACAAGTCGTCTCTTATATTTGAACTTACATACGCAGGCCCGGTGTTTTACCTTGAATGTTTTGTAAGGGGTTGCATTTGATAAAACAATTGAAGAATGCACCTGTGAGCCATCAGTCAGCAAAACCTACAACAAGACATGTAAACAATATCCAACAAGTTAGATTTAAGTTTCAAGACTACCTCACTACTACCTCATTTAGGAAGCAAGAAGAAACTAACCCCGTCCGCAGTGCCAGAGTCATTAATCAATAATTGCTGAACCTGAAGAACAAGATTGAAAACATAATCTACAAAGTCATACAGACAGACAATAGATGCAAAAAGTTTGAGAACTGAAACATGAACTAATCCTAACTCCTTTAGGGACATAAATACCTCTGCACATGTTACAATATGAGCCCCAGCTTCCTTAGCGGCATTAGCAATAGCCAAGGATACTGAACCCATCCCACCTTCAACATACCTGTACGGAAAGTTCGTTTTCCAATACTAAGAGAAAGTTTAAACAGTGATGAACAAAAATTGTTTAAACGAAAATTCAAGCTGGAGTATAACATATGAATGCTAACAGCAATGCATTTATCCAAGAATTTCTATCAAAGTATCATGTGAAACTAATTTTGAAAAATAGAGGGCAGAGACATGTCAAGCAAGCAATAGAGTAACTTACGACCAAATTCCACGCTCACCATCAGTTTCTCCCATCACATGATGTAGCAGAACATATCCACTCCCAGGTGTATGTACACTTCCCTGCATAAGAATCCAAGGCGGAGAGGCAGAAAAGTAACTAAACAGTGCAAATAATATAGTAGGATAGTCCCTTCGAGAAAAAAAAAATACAAAATGTGCAGTATGTATGATAAGTATTTAGAAATTTGAAGTGATGAATCTCCAGCCGTTCATAATGACTCTTACCGTAGTTCCTATTACAGCATCCGTTGCAAGGGTTGCCTTCAGAACTTCTGCCTGTAAAAAGCTAAATGACTCGATCATGTAGATATGACTAATATGCATAAAAATTCACAAGGTTTGAACTTTGAACTAATCATTGATGTAGAAATGACTTGATCACCTCAAACCAGTTATTCAAAACCTTCGAAGCCGGGGATAGCAAAAGGTCCATAAACTCGCTGCCAAAGCCAATAATTACACAATCATAAAGCCGAAATCTTTACCAGGAAATCAATTAGCCCTACCTCCATAACCATAGTAATTAATGCTGGTTCGAGCTAACATTATTAGGAAAATGAATGGTTCTTACACAAAGTCCTTTTGGCCTAAGGCGGCCGCTTGTCTCAGACACCGAGCCCAAAACATGGAATTGTGCATCTTATTCTTGAACCGATCACTAACACTACAAGATGACTCGCATTGCAAAGATTCAGGAGGAGCTGAATCCAGCAAGGGGTCCATAAATTCACAAAATTTCTCCAGCTGAGTCTCATATCTGTACAATCAATTTATTCAAAACCAACACACAGATAACGGAATACGGAATACGGAATACGGAATACGGATAGTACAAGTATAAACCTTGGATAAGCATCGGCGTCCTGTTTGGAGAATTTGGAAATCTCAGAGTGGTTAAGGTCCTTGTTTGGCCCCAAAAGAAGATATCTTCCATCCAAACAGGGCGTAAAGGACGAAGGACTCCTCTTCAGCAGCTTCATTCCATGCCGCGCCAGCTCTAATTCCCTGTTAGAAGGAGGCGTAAGGCATTGTTTGGTTGAAAATTAAATTATTCAAGCATTTCTACGATGCAAACCGCACAAACAGATAATTGAAGAGATGATCAGATGCGGGGGGTGTTACTTGATGATGGAGGGGCGGAGGAGGCTCTGGAGGTAGCTACACCGAGAGAACTTGAAGCCCGGAACCAGCTCCTCTGTGACGGCGGCACCGCCGATCACGTGGCGCCGCTCAAGGACGGCGACGGATAGGCCGGAGCGTGCGAGGTATGCGGCGGCAGTGAGGCCGTTGTGGCCGCCGCCGATGACGAGAGCGTCCCATTTCTTGTCCTTCAACGCGGTTGTAGCGGCGGCGGTCCCGGTGGTGCTGCTAAAGCTCCTTCGCCACATTTTGTCTCTGGTGGGACGGGAATGGGAGTCTGGCTTTCGCTGATTGCCTTCTGGTTAAACTAGTAGTAGTGCTTGCTGCTTAGTGATTTGCTTAATCAGATTTTCATGTATAATAATAAGAATTAGTGTTGCAATTAAAAATTAAAATGGTGCTTTACAGGCAATCCCCTCGTCGTTTTTTCTGGTAATTAATTTGATTAAATCTAATGTTTAACGGCAGTCTGCTTTCAGTTTACTGAGCAAGACGAAATGCTGCGGTTCGTCAAGAGTGTGCAAACCTCAACCGTTTGATGCATTGTGGGGCCTTACCTGATCAACGGTACCTGATTGTTTACCTTTAAAAGAGAGGAGAGCAAATCACACGGTTAATTTGGACCATTGTTCCCCTTTGGGCCTCCCACCTCCACTCAACCCAAACTACTGGGACGGACCTGGTCCCCATTGGGCTAGGCCTTTTTTTGTTTTTTAAATAAGAGACATTATACTTTAGTGCACTTTCATGTTCAGATGCATAAGGGACAACGCATCTATTCTAGCCAATTTAGTTTTGTTAACATCTGCTGATTTAGAAGTTTAAATGAAGGGAACTTTAACGAAAATCTCTGGTACTGTTTACTTTAACGAACAATCATATTTTTACACTAAAAAGTCAATTCTTGTACTATTCATTTTACTCTTTATTTTGTCTTTATCGTTAAAACTCAAAGTTTTCAAACCCCTTTCATTAGTTTTCCTTTAAATGAAGGGAACTTTAACAAAATTTTCAGTACTGTTCACTTTAATGAAAAACCATATTTTTACACTAAAAAGTCAATCATGGTACTATTCATTTTACTCTTTATTTTGTCATTATCATTATAACTCAAAGTTTTCAAACTTTTTTCATTAGTTTTCCTTTAAACGAATGGTATGTTTACTTTGTTGGAATCAACAAAAAAATATTTTGATTCCCTACTTCTTATAACTAACACATCTGATTTAGAGTTTAAATCTGAATTTTACATATGCAGTTTTGTCTCTAGTGGAGACGACTCCACCGGTGGACATGAGCCGACGGTTGCCTTCGTTTTTTAAGCAGTGTTTGTTTCGTATGTACGCGTCTAGCGTGTGATGTATTGCCTGGTAAGTGATGTGTCCTCACTTGTGCTATTGCTTGCCGGCAGGGACTTTGCATGTGTCTCGATGTATATAGGGGTGTGTTCGGTTTAATTTGGTTCAATTTTTTTTGTCAAAAACAAAACCGAAACTTCGGTTGGGTTCAATTTTCTATCGGTTTTTTTTGGTTCAGTTTTCAGTTTAATTTTGTTTGGTTCGGTTTTGGTTTTTATTTTATTTTATAAAACTTGATCTTTTTTTAATATAGAATTTAGAAAAGAGGCTTACATTGGTAGACTAATAATGAAAAAATGGGGAAAGTGGAAAAGTGGGAAGGCAGTTATACATATACAAGATTATATAAACCAATCATATTTTATCAACAACCTCAATTGCAAAGAAAAATCACCGTATTCATTCAAAAAGTAAACAAATAAAGAAACTATTATAAGTTCCAAAGCCTTCCAAAACTTTCCTCTGTAACCAATGAAATATCCTCCCTAATTGAACCAAGTATGCTTCTTGAAAAAGCCCTAGGCTTAGTTTCAAACTTGGCAATAAAGTTTCACAAAAGAAACATCATGGGCATGCATTCATAAAGTGTAAAGGAATTCGGTTCGGCTCGTTTTCCGAACATCCAAAACCAAAATCGAACCAAAAGGGTTCGATTTGGTTTCCTTTTTTTTCGATTTTCGATTTTTTGGTTTTGGTTTGGTGTTCAGTTCCCTTTTTTCGATTTTTTTAACCCCATCTTAGATATACGTATGCCATCTTTGTGGTGGATTTGTGTCGAGGTACTTGTGGTAGTACGAAGGTGCTTGTGCTTGTGGTAGCCATTAGGAATTTTATTGTTATGCTTATTTGTGCGGGTTATCTCCAGATTAACGTATTGGACACTGGAGAATGTACTTATACGACAACCTTTGTAATTGTGTAATCGTATGTTAAACTTACTATCGCTTCTTGTGAAAAGAAAAAAAAAAAGAAAAAAAAAAAAGAAGATGAGTGCAAAATTATTCTAATTTTTTGCTTTTCATGCGTGTGTGGTTACTTTCTAGGTGGAGATAAAAAAGAATAAGGAATAAGTCTGAAAAAGAATTCGGATGATGATAAATCGATATGAGATAAACAACCCACACTTGATTATTCAATACATTCGTATTATCATGTACCCAAAATCAATGAGACCTACCTACTTTTTCATTTCAATCAAACTACTGTGCTAGAAAATGTTCTTTGCATTCTCATCGAGTTTAGTTTGAATTCATCAAAACACTAATCCTTAAGCGCTAAGTATCTTCCTCATTTCCTGCTGCTTTTCCATCCTTTGCCTTCAGGGCTAAGCATACACAGGTTCACATGTTTAGTCAAGCCAAAAGATGCTTTCATGGGGAATTGCCCCAAGACAAGCACAAAAGGACCTATCACATAATTGCAATTAACCTTCCCTAATTATGATTATCTTATACTAATTAAACTAATGCTTTGCTCCATGGATTTCACATGGGGTTTAGTTTAAAAGATTTGTTCCACACTTGAGATATTATAGACCTGCAGCTTGACAAAAGAAACACCATTTTTTTTAAAGTTTTCTTTGTATCCATTTTTGGACAACTGTAAGAATGGAACCCAATGCAAATCATACCACTTCCAAAGATTTTTTTTTTTTAACTCAATGGTTAATAAAAAAAACCAAATTCTAGTTTGTAGAGTGAGAAAGATGATAGAAACTTACCTGCACCGAGGATGCCACTGTGACGGCATTTCAAGTCAATCATGTACAGTAATGCGTTTTAACTTTCCCACAAGGCAATACCTTTTAGACTTGGGATACCGCTACAACATTATCGTGTTGCACAAAAGTCTTTCTCCACCTAGACTAGAATACATGTTAGGTAGGACTAGAGTGTATCAAATTTTATATGGTAGCTAGGAAAAAAAAGAGTGGTTTGATTCTTGTAAGTAACCATGTGGTGCTGCCACTTCCAGAAAACAAGGAAGAAGTTATCTAATGACATAAACATGGGGGAAGAGTTGAGCTAAGAAGTGGAAATGTCTTGGAAACAAATGCTTAACAATGTAGGATGCAAACATACATACATACATACATACATACACACACATGTTTATAACAACATTGGTTTCTTTTGTAACTACTTAACCACCGGCACAGCCCGACATTGTGTTTAGATTTTATAACAAAAGGCGTCGATGCGATTAGAAGTAGAACTATTTAATATAAGTCGTAATTTATGACATCCCACATGTTTATATACTAATTATATTATATCATCGTACTTCCGATCATTAAAAAAAGCTTGAAAATAAAGCAATTGACCGTCCTTAAAGATCCCTTTGTTTCTAGTTTCTGCTTCTTATTTCAAGCACATCGAGTGTTATCAAGAGTTATAATATGATATCCTTAAATTTTGTCTGCCAACTTGCATCACCTTATTTGCATGAACTGTAATTCTCTGCTCTCTTCTTTGCTAATATCTTGGCTTAGAGTACTATTCGGTTTCTCTACCTCAGGCTTTCCCCTTAAATTTCGTTTCCTTTCATCGGCCAAATTCGTTCTCTCCCGCAACTTCTTTCTCGTCACTTCCAGCTCCACCCGACTAATCTTGCTCTAATATCTCAGAAAAATGGCACCTAGCAAGCCTTCTTCTTGGACAGCCAAACAAAACAAATTGTTTGAAAACGCTCTGGCAACATATGATAGGGAAACCCATGATCGTTGGCGTAATATAGCCAGAATTGTTGGAGGGACAACCGAAGAGGAAGTGAAGAGGCAGTATGAGATCCTTCTAGCGGACATCAACCGCATTGAATCAGGAAAAGTTCCCCTTCCCAAGTATCGGAAAGTTGGAGAAAGCAACATCAGCAGTGAAGAAGAGAGGTAATACACTTCTTTCTTCTTATTACTTGATAAGATGAAGACTAGAAAAACTGATTTTAAATCTTTAACTGACCATATTCAGACATTAAGGTATTCATGTCCACGAAATATATAACCGAAAACAATCAGCGAAACTCACTTCTGTGCTAAATCCATACTCAAAATATAAATATAACAATTTCTATGCAGGATCATGAACCTTTCAGGCTACAAATTGATACTAACCTTGTCATTCTTCATTTTTCGTTGGCCTCACTCTTCGTAGGCGGAGTTGCACTATCAACATGCACCTCGCTCATATCTTTTGTTCATATGCTGGCAGTAAATCTGTTCATTGATGAAGATTTGCAACAGTAGAAAGCACTTAACTCAGAAAACACTACAAGCTTCGTGTATAATAACTTCCATTTACCTTCTACAGGCTAAAGACCCTAAAGCTCTAAAGGAAGACGCCCTCCAGCGGTAGACACAGCACCAATTTCCTCTTGAAGTGGATCTAGCATAACCAAAATCTGCACCCCTTCCCATTCCCTCCTATCTTTTCCCTGTAACTTCAAGATGCAGTATACTTTCCTTTGCCTTGTTTGCACATGTAACAAGGAAGAATCCCTGCATATGCAAGTGCTTATTTATTTATAATCATCATTAATTAAAGAAAGCACGTACTACTATTAGCACATGATCTTAGCTCCAGTTGCACAAGGTGGGGTGGGATTAGGGGGCAGAAATCTTAGATTAAAAATTAAAGAAAGGAGGCATTAAGTAGCATATTACTATAACTGGGTAGTGGCTACCAAATCCTTAACTACATTAAGTTTGGTAATAAAATTTTAACATGAAACACCAGTATCATAAAGGATGTAAACTGCTAAGTTTGAGTGTAGCACCGGTGAAATCAAATTCAATGCCATCCAACAAGTATCCAACCGTTCCAATAAAAACAAAGTTTGCTCCTTCAGTCACTCACACGGGCATGGACAATTTTTAGCAATTGATTAAGGGTAGTGTTATTCACACACCATTGTTACTTCTCACATACATTCTCAATTTTCGGCCGTTTCATCGAATCGAATGAATTGAAAAATATCAATGGTAAAAAATTAACAGTGTGTATGAGAAGTAAAAATAGGTGTGTGAATATCAATATCCTTGAAGGAAATATGAAGTCATTGTGATACCCACATCAATAAAACTCCAACCCATGAGTAACTGGCGCTAGCATTTCAATGTCATTCATCAAACACTTGTTTCAAACACAGCATATACATATGCTAAGATAAAGATATCAAATTTGTCTTACACTTACTCTTTTTCTCTGCAACCCAAAAAAAAAAAAAAAACTTGCAAAATCTTCCTAATCTGTAGTTGTTTGCATAGGCAGGGATTTTCCGCCTTCGTTTGGTCCGCCGCCACTGTTTTCTCTGTTAAGTTTTGCCCTTTCAAACATCTGCTTTGGACCAAAAACCAAATTTATTTCCCAAACTGCCCAACAATTCACAGACATAAATCTTCCATTGCAAAGCAAACGAGAAGGGGGTAAAATCGTACCTTCTGCACTGTCTCGTTCAAGCAAGTTCTGTGCTCGTCCATTGAAGCACGAAGAAATTCATGAATGTGATCCCTCAAATTCTCCACGAAGCTGCCACTCCCGAAATTCTTCTTCCTGCTGCAAGAACTCATCGTCGCGCTTGATTTCAAAATTCATAATCCCAAAAACGACATAGTTGTGGTGCTTGGAGCACCAAGGAGCTGGGCAGTAGGCAGGGACGCATCCAAGAAATTTCTTCTAGCGTAAACAACTAAGAAAATTTTATTATATTATGGTTATATGCAATATGATATTAAGGTTGGTTTCAAATGATGATGTATCATAATTTTAATGTTACAAAATTTCAATATAATAGTAGAAAGTGGCAAAGTGATAAGAAAAATATAAGTATTTTTCGGTTTGAATGACAGAACAAAAGCACTATTGCTCATATAATATTTGATATGGAGTATAAGTAGAAGGCTTATTATACAAAATAGTCCCTGAGATTTGCTAGCTCAATAAAAATAGTCTCTGAGATTGTCCACCATTCATGATTTTGGTCATTCCGTTAAAAACTATTTGAGCAATTTTCAAAACTTCGTAACTCAATCAATTCTTAACCAAATTCGATCCATAATATATCAAAATAAAGATACGAAAGTGTAGAACAAGATTATACATATTTGGAAGCCCAATGATTGCCAGAGATGGTCCGAAAATAGCCTGAAATGTGACTAGTCTGATGGAAAATTGTAAAACTCATCGGAAACTAGGTAAATTTTAAATGTTCATAACTTCTTCAATACTCAACGAAATTGAGTGATTCAATAACGAAAATCATACATCTCGACGAGACAAAGAGAATGGAATCTTTCTTAACTGCTAACTCGCCGTGGTTTGGCCGGAAAACTACTTGAAAGTGGCTAACTCGAAAATGGTTAGCTACTTTCAAGCGGTTTTCCGACCAAACCACAGCGAGTTAGCTTTCGAAAAAGGAACCATTCTCTTCGTCTCGTCAAGAAGTATGATTTTCATTTTTGAATCACTCGATTTCGTTGAGTATTGAAGAAGTTATGAACATTTAAAATTTACCCAGTTTCTAATGAGTTTTCCAGTTTTCCCACGGATCAGTCACATTTGAGACTATTTTTCGACCATGTCCGGCAAACATTGGGCTTCTAAATAGGTATATTCTTGTTATACATTTTTTTATCTTCATTTTGATATATTATACGTCGAATTTGGTTAAGAGTCGATTGAGTTATGAAACTTTGAAAATTACCCAAAGAGTTTTTAACGAAATGACCAAAATCATGGATGGTGGGCAATCTCATGAACCATTTCTATTGATCATGCAAATCTCAAAGACTATTTTATATAATAAGCTTAAGTAAAATGAATGAATATTAGATATTAGATATATATATTTTCTTTAAAAATAATTATGTATATTATATAATTGTAGTATATAACTAAATAAATAAATTAGTGAAGTGGGAGTATTTATGTCAGTGAGCCTTCATTGGCTCTGTCCATGCCAGTAGGTGAGAGAAGGTTAAAAACGTGGTAAACTGCAAACCGAGGCGACGACTAAATACGACGTCGTTTCCTTCCGTAGGATATATTCGGTTGAACATCCGAAGTGAACCGGGTCAGCTGAACCCGATAGGCCCAAATTAGAGAGTGCATGCTCATAGCCAATACTGTTGCAAGTTCTTCTCTCTCCGAGAAAGCAGAAAGTGACTGCAGACAACAAATATGTCGTTTCAGGTTCGTCACTAAATCCCGAATAAATGACAATCCCATTGCCAATGTAGCTTATACGGTTGGATTAGCTTGTGAACATTTGCAGCAATTTCTGATCTTTTTTTGCGACAGATAATTCTCGGGTCGGCGTCGGCGGCGCGCCGGCAAATACTGGCGGAGATGGGATACCGGTTCACTGTCATGGTACACTGTAATTATATCAAAGCATCAATCTTTTTTCTTGGTTAAATGGATTAGCTTTTCAAATTGCTGATTTGGTTTTGTGGGTTTTAGACTGCAGATATTGATGAAAAAAGTATAAGGATGGATAAGCCTGAAGAACTGGTCATGGTTTTAGCTGAGGCCAAAGTACGTTTTCTCTACTTTTTATATTTTACGGTACAAAGCGATAATTTAAACTACTCTAAACGGGATTTGAATTCGACGCTGTCATGGCCAACTGACCTACCTAACCCATAAGCCAATTTTTACGATAGAAGTGTGTTTTGCCTTTATTTTTTTGTTAGGCAGATGCCATTATTTCAAGGCTCCAAAGTGATAAACAATTGGATGGGGATGCTCCTGCAACACTGTTGGTTACCGCAGACACGGTATGCGTTTATAAGTAACATCTGTTCATGTTTTTCAACTTTTCATTAGAAAAATGAAATCTACCTAACTTAATTAATTTAACTGATTAATCTTAATGCAGTAAGATTAATGGAATATATGTGTTACTTTCTCATACATTATGGAAATCACACAGTATTAGTGGACCAATATAACCATAACTCTCATAAATCCTATTCTTAATTGGCGTTTCACCTGGAGACGTTATTGGCACTCCAAAAAAGTTTGGATTGCAAGACGAGATGACTATTTTGGAGTGGCAATAAAAGCCCCCTTTTCACTATTCAGAAAACATGTTACCGGTAAAAACATCGGAAACAGTTTTGCTTTTTTAGTGAATCTCTCTTGTAGGGAATGTGTTTTGTAGTTAAGTTTGTTTCTCACTACAAAATCTTTATTGATTTTGAGGTGGTGGTGTATGAAGGGATAGTAAGGGAAAAACCATCCAGCAAGGAAGAAGCATGGAATTTTATCAAAGGTTTGCTTCAAAGGCAACTGTCCATCTTTTTCCCTTTGTTAAAATCTCAGATGGATATGTAGTGGTCAAGTCTTTATGGATGGGATGCAGGCTATTCCGGCGGTCAAGCAGAAGTTATAGGATCTGTACTTGTAACCAACCTTAAAACCGGAAAAAGAAAAGGCAGTTGGCGCAGAGCGGAGGTACTTGTTCTTTCACTGCTTAAAGCTCATTCTTTATCTGACCTGTCCTACAGAGCAGCCTTCTTGTCTAGCTTTTTTGTTTGTTCAAGTTTTTAATCAACAATGATGATCGATAGTTGTATCGTTTAATTTATTGGTTAGTTTGGGAAGGATTATAGCATATGTTTGATGTCGTGATGCAGGTTTATTTTCATGTCATACCAGAGGAGGTTATCCATAGCCTGGTAAATTTGGATACAAAATCACTTTAGGTGCTTTGTTGTGAACTATTATTCTCTGTTGAATCTGGCTTATGAGTCTGATGTTTGGCCAGATAGAGGAGGGAATTACGCTCAATGTTGCTGGCGGTTTGATGCTGGAACATCCATTGATTTCTCCGTTTGTAGAAGCAGTGGTTAGCTCTCTCTCATCTCTCCATTTCATGTCTACTCTTGCCATTCACTTGATGCATCTTTACAGAGTTTTCCTCCCCTCGTGGTCTTTATCTCCTTCTTTCTACCGTTTCTTTCAGCCTTGTTCGCTTCGCTAATGGGTTCTAAATTTTCTTTCTTTTTCCAAGTGAATTAGCAACCAAACATGCTCGAGTTTTGGCCTTGCTATATTTTTTTCATCGGGTCTGCATATACCGTGTCTTTTGATCCGTCCATCAGGGGTGTGAAGGATTCTAACTTCTCACAAATTTGTTTGCAATGTGCTTCATTTGGTTTGCTGCAGATAGGGACGACTGACACGGTTATGGGATTGCCTAAAGAACTTACAGAGAAGCTCATTCAGGAAGCAGTCTAACTATTGTTTCGGAGTGGTGAGCGGGTTCTTATTCGAAACATGTCAGCTGGCTGATGAATCTACGATTTTCGCAAACTCTTCACCCGGTCATTTTTGAAATTGTGGGATTTAAACCCGCTGCTAATCGCTTCAACTGAGGTTGTTTAATTATTTTAACCACATCATTAAACATTTTGATGATGATTTTGGTGATGGTCGCTCATACGTAATTGATAATTCAGCTCTTTGATGTTGAAATCGTAGATTGACAATGATTCGAAATGATGCACATGTTAATGAAAATGCATTAAATATCCTAATTGTAAGTGAAAATATCCACCT